CTTGAGCCCAGGAGTTGGAGGTTGCTGTGAGCTGTAATGCCACAGCACTCTACCCAGGGGGACAGCTTGAGGCTCTGTCTAAAAAAAAAAAAGAATTCAGGCCAGGCACAGTGGCTCATGCCTATAACCCTAGCACTCCAAGATCCTCTTGCCTCAGTCTCCTGAGTTGTACAATGTATTCAATACTAATATGAAGCCAGGAGATGAACTAAGATGAACTAATACACTCCCACACAAGAGAAAAACTCAATTCAATTCAAGTTGGGGGGAGGAAAGAGAGAGAAGGAAGGAAGGGGATTAGTACACTCCCACCTAATGGGCACAGTGTAAGGGTATATGGCACACCTCCTGGGGACAGGACACAACTACAAAAGGGACCTTACAGCCTAATCATTTGCACCCTCATATTAATCTAAAAGGAAAACAAGACGAATAAAAAGGAGCGGAGTATCCAAAAAATGTGGGAAACTACATTAGGTGTAACATGTTTACTGAGAATATCAGAAAGAAAAGAAAAAGAGAAAGGAACAGAAACAATATTTGAAGTACTAATGGCTAAGAATTTCCCTAAATTCAAGTCCAGGAAGTTCAGAGCACACCACCTAGGACAACAGCCAAATACACACATACATATGCGTATGTATACACACACCACACACCACCTAGGCATATCATATTCAAACATCAGAAAAGTTGAAGACGAAGAAAAAGTCTTCAAAAAAAAAAAAAGAAAAAAATTCAAGAATGTTTCAATGACATGGAAAAACGCTTACAATGCAAAGCCGAGTGAATACTTAGGATATAAAATTGTATCTACAGCACTTAACTACTTATCTTAAATTAAAAATGCATAGAAAAAAAGACTATATGAAAATACACAGAAGTGTTTGTTATACAGCAAGACTATGGGTGATTTTTATTTTTATTCTTGACATTGTGCTATATTTTCCTAATGAGCACATTTTACTAACCACTCCTCCCACCCCCTGCCCCAAATTGCATTTGTTAATGCATACTAACTTGAAAACCTGATATATATTGAGTTTCAAGTGCTGCTCATTAGCTGGGCAACAATATACAAATTAATTAATTTTGGGGTGTCAGATTCTTCACCTATAAAACTGGCACAATAATGATAACCTAGGCCAGGTGTAGAGGCAGGTGGATTGCCTGAGCTCAGAAGTTCGAGACCAACTTGAGCCAGAGTGAGACCCTACCTCTAAAAATAGGAGGGTGTTGTGGGGAGTAGCGGGTCTGTAGTCCCAAGTACTTGGAAGGCTGAGGCAAAAGAATGGCTTAAGCCCAAGAGTTTGAGGTTGCTGTGAGCCAGGCATCCTCAACCTATGGCCCATGGGCCACATGCAGCCCGCCTAGGATATTATCCGGCCCACCGGTTGTTTTTGCCACCACTGCCTGTCCTGCTTAGCAGCCAACTCCTCCCAGAGCCCGCAATCTGGCCCTCCAACGGTCTGAGGGACAATAAACTGGCCCCCTGTTTAAAAAGTTTGAGGACCCCTGCTATGATGCCAAGGCACTCTCTGGAGGGCAACAGAGACCCTGCATCAAAAAATAAATAAATAAATAATGGCCTATTTTTCTTCTTCTTCTTCTTTTTTTTTTTTTTTTTGAGACAGAGTTTCACTTTGTTGCCTCAGTAAAATGCTATGGTTTCACAGCTCACAGCAACTTCCAACTCCTGGGCTTAGGCAATCCTCCACAACATCCAACTATTTTTTTGTTGCAGTTTGGCTGGAGCCGGGTTCGAACCCACCACCCTTGATATATGGGGCTGGCGCCCTACCCACTGAGCCACAGGCGCCGCCCCATAAATAATGGCCTATTTTTCAAAATCACCATTTACTGAGCATATTCTATGTACTGGGCACTGTGCCAAATAGTTTTCCCTCCATGTATTATCACACATACTGTTCATGCTTACAATTCACACACGATCATTTCAATCTCCCAATAAGGTATGGAGTATGTTATGATATTCCCATTTTAGAGATACACGAAGTGCAGCTCAGAAAAGTTAGGCAATATACTCAGGTTTATCCAATTAGTCGGTGGTAGAGTCAGGATTGAGACATGGTCTGTTCATTTTTGGAAACCGATCTCTTGGCTTTCAGCCTGGACTGCTCATAGTTACAGCTTTGTTGTGAGGATTGAATGAGGTAATACAAATGGGATCCAAGCACAGTACCTGGCTCCAAGCACAGAGATGCTCCATTTAACATTAGTCCCCTTTTCTATGACACATGAATATTAGTAAATTGTGGCAAAACAAACAAGTACACTCTCTGCAAAAAAAAAAAGAAAAAGAAAAAAAAACAAAACACCTGCTTTGAAAGAGGGGATTGATTGTAGAACCTGTAAGGACAGACCAGAAAGGGACTAGAAGGCTGGCTCTCTCTGGGATATACCATGTATAGGAGGCTGGGACTGTGCATCCCACATGATGCAGGGTACTTCTGGTGGAGGTTTGTTCAGAACTTCATTGGCCCCTACACCTTAATTTGTAGCTCAGAATACAGTATAGAGTCACCTCACCAACAAGCCATCATGCCCCAACTCTGATTACCCTGTCACTATTTCTCCCTAAAGAACAGGGACAGGTCTTCTAGGACTATAGATTGTTTGTTGTTTTTCTTTCTTTTTTTTTTT